AAACGGCTGCCACATGTGTTGATGGGTATTGCCATTCAGAGAAGCAATTTAATGAATATAGCTGTATAGATGTAAGAAAGGGGCCATCATGGCGTGTTCTTGGCATTATTTGGGCTTCTCAAGATATAATAAGCAGACTGCAAGCTGTGAGACTGAAACCTTAGTTCAGTCACTGCCAACTCCAAAATTAGCAGTGTGCATGGGCAGGGTGCCCCTCAGTGGGCACGATGCCTCCTCATTGCTCTTCTAATAGAAAACATCACCATATTCATTTATTAAAATGACTCCCAGGCAGTAGGAATGTGCATAGTGTAGCTCTGCCAGTTTTTGTTCAAGTCCTTGCAGTTTTTAATGGAATCATAGCATTGGAAGGGACTGCAAGAGCCACGTTGCTTTTTTTTTGGGTACAGCTTGACTTCCACTTTCCAAGGTGTTTTACTCAATGTGTTACGTTTTTCAAGCAAATGCTGTCACACATACTCCATAAATGTTGTTGTTGTTCATTCGTTCAGTCGTTTCCAACTCTTTGTGACTTCATGGACCACTCCACGCCAGAGCTCCCTGTCGGCCATCACCACCCCCAGCTCCTTCAAGGTCAAGCCAGTCACCTCAAGGATGCCATTCATCCATTTTCCCCTTGGTCGGCCCCTCTTCCTTTTTCCTTCCGTTTTCCCCAGCATCATTGTCTTCTCTAAGCTTTCCTTTCTTCTCATGATGTGGCCAAAGTACTTCATCTTGGCCTCTACTATTCTTCCCTCCAATTAGCAGTCGGGCTTTATTTCCTGAAGTACGGACTGGTTGGATCTTCTCGCTGTCCAAGGCACTCTCAGAACTTTCCTCCAACACCACAGTTCAAAAGCATCTATCTTCTTCCATATAGTTTGGGTGCAGTTTTCAACAAGAATAATGTCTCCACCCCAAGGCAGATCAAAATATTGGGATGATCTGTCATGATCTATTTACTTCTAAGCTTGTCAAGCATGACACTTTTTGCTGCTTTGCACTGTACCAAATGTGTTGGTCTCTAGAGATCCAAACAGATCTGAAGTCCTTTTTGAAGTCCCAGGTTATCAAAGTAGAAAATCCAGATTATCTGATTTGAACTGGGTTATCATCGTCTACACCAGGGGTCCTCAAACTAAGGTCCAGGGGCCGGATACGGCCCTCCAAGGTCATTTACCTGGCCCTCACTCAGGGTCAACCTAAGTTTAAAACTACTTGAAAGCCCATAACAACAACAACAACAACAACAATAATCCTATCTCATCAGCCAAAAGTAGGCCCACATTTCTCATTGAAATACTGATACGTTTATATATTATTTATTATTTACTTACAGTATTTATATTCCATCCTTCTCACTCGCAGGGAACTCAGGGCGGATTACAGTGTACATATACATGGCAAACATTCAATGTGATAGACACATAACATATACAGACAGACACTCAGAGGCTATTTAACATTCCAGCTTCTGGCCACCAGGGGAGCTGTCGCTTCACCATCCGTTTGTGACACTGATGAAATACTTCCTCATTCTTTGCATACTTCCTGGAGATTTTTATGGCCTCGTGAATCAGTTAAATTATATTTCTTAAAATTGTTGTTCATTTTAATTGTTGTATGGTTTTTAAGTGTTTTTTGCACTACAAACAAGATATATGCAGTGTGTCTAGGAATTCATTCATGGTTTTTTCAAATTATAATCCAGCCCTCCAAAATTTTGAGAGACTGTGACCTGGCCCTCTGTTTAAAAAGTTTGAGGACCCCTGGTCTACACTGTCATATAATCCAGTTCAAACAGATAATGTGGATTGTATATCTGGTCTGAGAATTCTTCATCAAACCAGATATTAAACCAAATGTGGCTCAAAGAAAAAAGGTTTTTTTGGGGGGTAGTGTTAAAGGATTACGTGCTGTATCTCATATGCTGTATCTGTCATTGCCAGGATGTTAATCTGGGAAGCTCTTTCCAGATTTCGAACAGTTTGCGGCAGGGAAAAAGATCTCCAGTTGTAGTCAGCCCTCCACATTTGCTCGAGTTAGAGGCTGAACTCCATGAAAGTGATAAAAATCTGTGAATAAAAAACCCCTATTTTTTTCACTTGGGAGAACACATCTCTAGATCCTCAAATATGACTCTAGTCAACTTCTGCTAGAAAAATTGTATTGAATGACCTAGAGATTCTTAGATAGATGTTCTCTGTAGGTTTTCCAGTGTGATTCTGTGGTCAGCTTCTGGCAGTTGTTGTCAAACAGGAAGAACTAATAATGGCTAGAGCGAACATTTTAATTGAATCTACACATAATCAAAGGTGGGATCAAGAGCAGGGCCTCCCCAGACGTTCTTAAAGATCTTATGGTTTATAAGGAGAGATATGTCCAGACAGGTAAGTTGGGCCGGAACTATTTAGGGCTTCACAGGCTAAAGCCAGCACTTTGAATTGTGTCTGGTAGCAATCTGGCAGCCAGTGGAGCTGGTGCAACAGAGGAGTTGTATGCTCCCTGAGTGCTACTCCTGTTAGCAACTTGGCTGCCATCTGTTGGACCATTTGAAGCTTCCAAACAGTCTTCAAAGGCAACCCCAGATAGAGTGCGTTGCAGTAGTCTATACGGGATGTAATCAGAGTGTGAATTACCGTGACCAAGTCAGACTTCCCAAGGTACAGACGCAGCTGGCACGCAAGTTTTAACTGTGCAAATGCTCCTCTGGTCACCACCGAAATCTGGGGTATCAGGCTCAGTGATCACTACGAACCTGTGTCTTCAGGGGGAGTGTAACCCCATCCAACACAGGCTGTAACCCTATGCCATTACATGATATACATCTTCTTTTGGTACGGATCCATGGTAAAAGGGGAGAGCAAATGGTGTACGATGGCATGGTGGCAACACGGGATATTTTGCAATAATGGGGGGAAGCCAGGCGGTGGAGCTTTCCCTCCATGGAGTAGGGCCAGCGATAAATCGGGTTCTCTATGCCACCCACTGGGACCCCATGGATTCACCATGATGTTTGACGAATCCTGACAATGTGATAAGGTCCTTACACCATCTAGGATAGGAAGAGACTCATGATTTTGTTGGGCTGTCACTCTCTGCAGCCTTAACTAGCAATAGCCTGAGAGGGTCTCTTGGAATCCTAAAAACTGGATGTTCCTTTAAATTGCAGGGAGATTGAAAAATACTATTTTGGGGGATTAGAACTCCCTCCAAGCAGGATGATCACTGTCACTGTCCATGCTGGGGGATTCTGGGAAGTTAATTGAAAATGGCAGCTCTTTGAGGCTTTGCCTGCAGGCGTAAAACCCTTTGTTTAAAAAACTGTTCAATGCCTATCTAGTTCTCACACTTGAAGTTTCTGTCTTAAATACTTTGGATGACACTTGTATTTATTCCATATTCAATCTTGCCCTGTCCTTTTTGGCAGAGGCGTTCAGTTCAGTTGCTGGCACTGACTGAAAATAATCATTTCTATCAGGGTTGCAAAATACTTCTTTTCCAGAGAGTCACTATCCATAGCAGTGGTTCTCAACCTTCTGAATGCCGCGACCCCTTAATACTGTTCCTTGTGTTGTGATGACCCCCAACCATAAAATTACTTTCGTTGCTACTTCATAACTGTCATTTTGCTATTGTTATGAATCATAATGTAAATATCTGATATGCAGGGTGTATTTTCACTCACTGGACCAAATTGGGCACAAATACCCAATACACCCAAACCTCAATACTGGTGGGGTTGGGGGGCGGGGGTGATTGATCTTGTCATTTGAGAGTTGTAATTGCTGGGATTTATAATTCACGTACAATCAATGAGCATCCTGAACTCCACCAATGATGGAATTGAATCAAACTTGGCACACAGGACTCCCATGACCAACAGAAAATACTGGAAGGATTTGGTGGGCATTGACCTTGAGTTTTGGAGTTGTAGTTCACCTACATCCAGAGATCACCGTGGATTCAAACAATGATAGATCTGGACCAAACTTGGCATGAATGCTCAATATGCCCAAATGTGAACACTAGTGAAGTTTGGGGAAAATAGACCTTGACCTTTGGGAGTTGTATTTACTGGGATTTATAGTTCACCTACAATCAAAGAGTATTCTGAACTCCATTAACAATAGAATTGGGCACACAGAACCCCCATGACTAACAGAAAATACTGCGTTTTCTGATGGTCTTTGATGACCCCTCTGATGCCCCTCACAACCCCCCCAGGGGTCCTGACCCACAGGTTGAGAAACGCTGATCTATAGAGTAAAAAATACTGGGCTAGATGGAACAGTTAGTTATCTGGTTGAATATACAGCAGCTGCACAAGTTTTATTTCAGAATGTGGAAATCTTACATTTTTTTGGACTACAGCTTCCAGAACTTACCAACCAGCATGGGCATTTCTGGGAGATTTTTGAGAGGGCTTGTCCCAAAAAAGTAGTGTTTCCAGCATCATTCCGATTGCAGTAAGCATAAGCATTGCACAGCTAAAAAAGAATATCTTGGTGTCTTGGTTGTGGGATTTTATGGGGTTCTGATTCAGAAAAGTGCATTGGATAGACCACTTCAGCTCTAGTTTCTTAGATAGGGTCATCATAATTTCCAATGGGCAAGCATATGGTGATATGTTCTGTATGTTCTGTATCTCAAAATCTCAAAATATGTTCTGTATCTCAAAATCTGGAGTTGATAGGAGAAAACTGGTGCCATTTTTGGAATCATTGGGTCAAATATATCCGGAAACAGGTCTAACAACCAGTGTTATAGAAGAGCAACTGAAATATTTCCTTTCATGATGACAACAGAAGAACTGTCCTTCTCCTAGAAATGTCATGAGAACTACATTAGATCTGTGGTGAACATTTTTTTTTGTTGGGACTCTGTCCTTATTTGTAAACATTTATCTTGTCACTCTCTGTTCAGTGCTTTCAACATAATGCTAACTTGCGTTTTGAGGTAATAATTGATGATCTCTTCTCCCTTTCCCAATGGTTCAGCTGGCAGAACGACTAAAACTATCTGATCCGAGGCTCCTTGAGAGGCCTGAACAAGAGGTGACTTTGGAACCAGGTTGGCTTGTGGAGCTTCGAAAACTACACCAGCAGTGGGAGGTGAGAATGTGGAGTGGAGGGGAGGTAAACAGATTTGGGAGACAGGAGATCAAGCCAAAACGGATGTAGAATACTATAAGAGTGTGTGAGGAAGACAGAGGTACCCATCATTGGAATGAAGAGAGCTGGTTCCTTTAAGCCAGAGGGAAGAGATAGAGATGCTGGCTCAAAATCATGAACAGCAGCTGGTTAGTTGGAAAAGAATATGTGAGAAGATAAAAGAGAGAAATGCTGAGAAGAAGGGGGGCAAGGAAGGTGAGATACCTTTGAATTTATCTGTATTACAATGGGATTATTATTATTATTATTATTATTATTATTATTATTCTGACACAAAAACACAGTATGTCACGGCAAATAAAATCTATATGCTGGATTTCGTATCACAAAATCACAAGTCGAACACTTCCTAAGCATCTAGGACTGTGTTATGTATTTTCGAATGATGCACTCAGATCCAAGTAAGGTGGCCTTTTGCAGTTGACAGATCATGATTTTATCAATGTTTATTGTTTCCAAATGCCGGCTGAGATCTTTTGGCACGGCACCCAGTGTGAAATGACCACTGGGACTACCTGTACTGTTTTATGCCAGAGCCTTTGCAGTTCGATTTTAAGGTCCTGATAACGGCTGAGTTTTTCCTGTTGTTTTTCCTCAATGGGACTGTCACCCGGTATGGCGACATCAATAATCTAAACCTTTTTATTTTCACAATTGTGATGTCTGGTGTATTGTATTCCAAAACTTTGTTAGTCTGGATTTGAAAGTAGCACAGTATTTTTGCGTGTTCATTTTACTATGCTGTTTTATATTGTTGATTTTATTTGTTATTTCATATTTTGTTATGACGTATTTTGTTATTGTGTGTTTATTATGTTGTATTATTTTGGGCTTGGCCTCATGTTAGCCGCCCCGAGTCCCCTTTGGGGAGATGATGGCGGGTTATAAATAAAGTGTATTATTATTATTATTATTTATTTATTATTATTATTATTTATTATTATTATTATTATTATTATTATTATTATTATTATTACCTTTGCAGGTTTATGATCCCACCAATTCTTTACTGCTGGTAGGTGGTACTTGTGACATAAGTTCCAGTGACTCATTTGGGCCACAGAGTTGTGCCTTTGTTTGTAGTCCATCTGTGCGATTTTTTTGCAACAGCTGAAGATATGATCCATGGTTTCATCAACTTCCTTACACAGTCTGAATTTTGGGTCATCAGCTGATTTTTCAATCTTGGCCTTAATTGCATTTGTTCCATTATTATTATTATTATTATTATTATTATTATTATTATTATTATTAATGTGTATAGTGCTGATATTTTAATCGTGTTATGAAGTGGCATTGTGTTGTTATTGTATATTCTTTGTATGTTAACACATGTTGTGAACCGGTCCGAATCCCTCTTTGAAGGTGAGAGGGTCGGTATATAGAACCTCTAAATAATAATAATAATAATAATAATAATAATAATAATAATAATAATTTTCTTGGTACTGTTTCATTATCTAGGCAGAGGCCACAAGGGGGCACTAGAGAGAGAAGCATAGTCCATTTGGGGGAGGAGACGAGTTGAAGGAGGAAAAGCATTTCCCCCGGTTTTTTTCTGGTTATTCATCCTCCCCCTTCTCATATCATAAACGAGAGTTGTTTCTTTGACGGGGACCTGGTGAGGGGAATAACAGGAAAACAGGGGAAAATGGTTTTACTCCTTCAACTCACCCCCCCCCCCGTAAAATGGACAATCCTTCTCTCTAGCGCCACATTGTGGCCTCCTCCCAGATAATTGAACAGTACCATTTTTTTTTTTACTTTTTGGTACTTTCCCATCCTTTGTTTCTGATATCCTTAGGCCTTGCTCCATTTGACTACAAACTTAACATAATATTCTTTTTCCTCTTTCTTATCTGATTAAGGAAGAAGGAGGTCTCCTCAGTTCTACATCCACACAATCGGCATTTCCTGGAATCAGTGGGCCAATATCAGGTAAAATAATTAAAAGTCCACACAAACCATAGCATGTGTCATACACTCAGGTGCATCATATTGAATGAAACCACACTTCTAAAGTTAAACTGACGTATTTGTGAACTACACTGAGTGTTAACAAGTGGGATTCTTTGCACTGATTTCCAGTTTACTTCTGAATCCAGTACAAAAGGTGCTAATGTTAATTTGTATGGGACCGCTGTATCTGAAGGACCACTCCTTCCCATAGATTTCCACCCAAATCCTGAGGTCAACATTAAAGATTTAGCTCTTCAGGTCGAGTTATAGTTCAACTTTGGATGTTTCATTTTACACTACAGTTCCCAGAATTTCCTAGCCCGCAGTGCCAGAGGTTGTGCTGACTATGATATTCTGAGAGCTGTTGTCCAAAAAAGTAACATTTCCAACTTCTATTCATGGTGAGTTATTATTTCGGTAATAGCCACCCCATTAAGGCCTCTCTGTCTGCTGTTCTTGCTGTCTAATGTAGGTGATTTGTGTGAGCGATGGTACTGAAAAACGATCACCCATAGGTTCAGTCTCTACATAATTCTTAGCAGGAAGCAGGCCACTGAACTAAATGGTTCTGAATTTTTAGTTGAAAAAAATGGCAACATGAATATTATTAGTGCTTTGATTCTGTGGCCCGAGTTATGTGCTTTGGGCTAAAATCAAAGCCAAAGTCACATTCAGCATTTCTGTAAGCTGGGTTTTATCTCTAGCCCCATCTTGTCTGATGGCCGATAGTTCTCTATTTTCAAACCAGGGAACATCCTAGCATTTAGTATTTCATTTTGTGTGGTGCAAATTGAACTTGGGGCCTTTTCCTTTCAAAATATTGTCCTGTGTGACTGAGCTATTATCTTTTCTCTTAACTGCTCATCCATTTATCATTACAACGAAAGTCTTTATTGGCATACACTAACAAAATCACAACACAAGCATATATAACAAGATGAAGTCACAGATAAAAAAGGAAAAGCATAATTAAAAATCATTAATCTCAAGAATAAAATGTGTGACAATCTTACAAAAGAACTAGCTGTACCCACCACACAGTGCTGTGGCCAACCTTTCCTCTCTTTTTCTCTCCTTCTTTCTCTCCTTCCTTCTCTTCCCTTCCTTCCCTCCTTTTCTTTCCCTTCCTCTTTCTCCCTTTTCTTCCTTCTCTACCTATTCTTAAACTGCAACTCCTAGCAGTCCTCCTGATCTACCTACCTATCTCTATCTAATCTATATATCTGGAGGATTGCTGGGAGTTTCAGTCCAGGAAGAATAGTAGAGGCCAAGATGAAGTATGTTGGCCACATCATGAGAAAAAAGGAAAGCTTAGAGAAGACTATTATGCTGGAGAAAATGGAAGGAAAAAGGAAGAGGGGCTGGCCAAGGGCAAGATGGATGGATGGTTTCCTTGAAGTGACTGGATTGACCTTGAAGGAGCTGGGGATGGTGACAACTGACAGGGAGCTCTGGTGTGGACTGGTACATGAAGTCACGAAGAGTTGGAATCGACTGAACAAATGAACAGCAGCAGAACAGCAGTCCAGGAATAGAAAATAGGAAATATGCAGAGATTGTTATGCTCTCAAAGAAATCCAAGGAGAAGAAAGCTTACATTTTGGAAGCAGTGCATTTGGATCATCCTCCTCTCCTAAAGGGCCTGGTCTAGGGGATGCTGGGAGCTGTAGTCCAGAAGAGAGTATGGATATGCTAATGTGTGCGTGTGTTTTTTTTGCTGGGGGAATCATTTTTTGCAATGCGCTGTAGCATCTTTTTGCTTTTGGCCTTTTTAAGTCCCTTCTGCTGCATTTTTCAGTGTTTTTATGAGTGATGTCATTCATTGGCCTGGTAGGTTTATTGTGTCCAAATTTGGTGTCAATCCGTCCAGTGGTTTTTGAGTTATGTTAATCCCACAAACTAGCATTACATTTTTATTTATATAGATGCATCAGAGTTGCTCAGGAGGTATGTGATTTTATAACACCCTTGGCATTGAAAATACTGTGAAAAAAATGGAATTCCTGTATTTCATCCATATATTATCATATTTATGACATACAAACCTAGAATGGTCAAGAGTTTCAAGAACATTTTATCATTAGAGCTCAACCCTATACGGCTGCGGTCCAGCGTACCTGTCCAAATGTATCTCCTTCTATGTCCCACCTCGGAGCTTAAGATCGCCAAGCGTGTTTGAGACAAAGGCGGGGACGAGGGACAGGGCCTTTTCGGTGGTGGCCCCCCTCCTGTGGAATTTGCTCCCTGGGGAAATTAGGTCAGCGTCATCCCTTCTCCCCTTTAGAAAAAAGGTTAAAATGTGGCTGTGGGACCAGGCCTTTGGGCAATCAGGCAGGTTAAAGGACAATTGATAATGTTTGACTATGGCATGGAAGAGGATTTGGATAAGTTAAGCAGAGTATTCATTAGTAGATGGCTAGCTAACAGCCACCAGACGGGCAATAGCTAATCAGAGTGTAAGTATACTGTTTTAATCTTTATTTATTAATGTTCATGTTAATGGTTATATTTGTTATTCTGTATTCTGTATTTTATGATGCGGCATTGAATTATTGCCAATTGTAAGCCGCCCTGAGTCCCCCTAGGGGTTGAGAAGGGCGGGGTAGAAATGTTTGAAATAAATAAATAAAATAAATCTAGTTCCTGATTTCTGAGTTTGGAATTATATAGATGTTCTCTATCCAATGTTATGTTTTCTAGGTTTGGCACCAAATCAAGGAAGCGTGGCAGAGTTGGAGCACAATGTGCCTTCTCCCCTATCACCAGGTGTCTCAGATCAGTGCCATGAACCAGGTGTGGACCAGGAACTATATCTCCATCCTAGATCTGGATATCCAATAAATACAACAAATGCCGGTCCAAAGATACATGTACCTGGCAGGGGCCAGGACTCTATTCCATCACTAGGAGCAACTCCAGATGAACTCTCCTCATGTTTACACCAGCCAGCAGGTAATTAGGACTGCTGCAGTGATACAAGATGATGTATGCATATATTGGCCATTTGGTCGCAAACTGCAAAACATTTACAATTAGCCAGTTGATTCTAGTGGCAATGAGAGAAGCAACAGGCATGCCCTTTCTAGAGCTTGAAAATGTTACTTTATTTGGATGAAACTCCCATCAAAGAATATGGCTGGATCTGCTAGAGAGAGGACTAGCAAGGATGAATGGTCACTGCTGGAAACCAGATAATCAGGGCAACTGACCTTTCTCCTCCTCATACTGGGTCCTTGTTCAAGAGCTTGTGACATTATCATGGACGGTGGGATGAAATGGAACAAGGCCCACTTGCTTCAATGTCCAATTTAGATGATTCTCCATCTGGTCCATTTTCATGCTTGTTATCCTTTCCCTCTCTTAGCAGAATGGGAAATATTGTGGCAACATATTTTGGATTCTCATTATCCCTTACCATTGGACTGAAAAACCTGAGAGATGAAATCCAAAAGATTGTTTAAGCATTAAAAAGCCTTTTATTGATTCAGCACCCTCCTCTAATTGTAGTTTCCAAAGAAAAAGAATGATGATAGAAGCATTTCCTGGTCTAGAAACCTCATAATTCATGGCTGCAAAAGATGTGGATTATTTGAGAGAGGAGGCTGGGATGGTCTGCTGTGTGATTGATGCTTTTGAAGGCTTTGATTAACAGCAGGCAGCAGATGATGTGATTAAAACTCATACAGAGAAGGGGAATGAGGAGCTTCGGAACTGGGGTTGGTGCCAGTTTGTACAATGGAGAGAGCACTCAATGGACAGATATAAGGTCAATATGCACATGCAGACAAGGCCCTTCCCTCCTTTGCAGAAAAGCTATTTTCTTGAATTAGACGGAAATGAAAGCAAAATTGAATGCTTCAGATAAGCAGGAAACCCCACAGGGTTACTTAATGCTGTGAAGATTGACTTTGTCTCATAGCAGTTTTCACTACAGAAATAGTGGTACCCCTTCCAAAAGGCAGGGGTAGAGAAAGCTCCATAAACCCCTCCTCCCCAAAAGTGTTTTTTTCTTTGTGTCCCTGTGTTATTTAATTAGTTTTTTAAAAATAAAATTTTATTAACCACAAAAAGAAAAAAAAACATTTTATCATTTTACGTAGAAAGTGGGAGAACATTGAGTTGATTGTAAAGTAGGAAAGAAAAAAAGAAGTGAGAACAACAACAACAACAAAGAAAAAAAGGAAAAAGGTCCCATTGACTTCCATTCTGTGCCTCTGCAGTTCTCTTTTTCTTACTTTGTACAATCATGAAAAAATAAAACATAAAATAAAGAGTCTGTGATCAAGTAATATCTTTAAATTTATTTTTTCTTTTTCGTATTCCTCAACTAGATTCCAATCAGTCTTTTGAATTGGTCTTCCCGAGATATTCTTCAGGAGAAACGTTAATTGGTCCATGACTCTGATTTCTCTTAATTTGTTTAACCAATAATTAATATCTAGTATCTTATTCAATTTCCAAAGTTTTGCGTAAGACAGTGGTTCTTAACCTGTGGGTCTCCAGATGTTTTGGCCTCCAACTCCCAGAAATACTAGCAGCTGGTAAACTGGCTGGGATTTCTGGGAGTTGTAGGTCAAAACACCTGGGGACCTACAGGTTGAGAACCACTGGCGTAAGAGATTCTCGCCACCATAGACATATACGTAAATAAGATATCCTTATTATGGTCCAATGTTAGCTCTGAGTCCATGAGGCCTAATAAGTAATATTCTGGGTTGTTGTAGGTTTTTTCGGGCTGTATGGCCATGGTCTAGAGGCATTCTCTCCTGACGTTTCGCCTGCATCTATGGCAAGCATCCTCAGAGGTAGTGAGGTCTGTTGGAACTAGGAAAAAGGGTTTATATATCTGTTTATATATAAGGGTTTATATATCAACAGACCTCACTACCTCTGAGGATGCTTGCCATAGATGCAGGCGAAACGTCAGGAGAGAATGCCTCTAGACCATGGGCATACAGCCCGAAAAAACCTACAACAACCCAGTGATTTCGGCCATGAAAGCCTTCGACAATACAAGTAATATTCTGTGTTTTTGTTTTTTTTGGGAAAGTCTTTCTAAGTATCTCTTGAGATTCTTCATGAATAGAGTTCCAAAATTTTGGGGCCTCCCTACAGGACCGTCACATGTGAAAAAAAACTCCCCTCATGGTCATGGCATTTCCAACAGTTTTTTTCCTACACTTTTGTACATAAAGCCAAGTTTCTTGGGGGTAATGTACCATTTATGAAACATTTTAAGCCAATTTTCTTTAAGGTCCATGGCATAGGTATATTTTAATTTATTGTTCCAAATTTGTTCCCTTTCATTGAAATTTTATTTATTTATTTATTTATTTACTTCATTTGTTGACCGCCGCTCTCAGCCCTGGGGCGACTCGCGGCGGTGTACAACATATAAAAACAGTCTACAAAAACATACAATGAATCGACAACCAAATTACACATTAATTTGGATGGGTCTTCTAAAGTTTTAAGACCAGCTAACCATACAATTCTTAACCACTTCTGTTTCTGTGGAGTTTATTGCAAATCTTGGTAATAGGCTTTTTCTCTGTCTGAAGTATCTTGTCCATTTAATTAAATAGTTTGTTGGGCAGTTTTAGTCCTCAAAAAAGTCTTTAAAAAACCCCTGGATGTGACTTCTACTTAATTCCTCATTTGAAAAAGACCTGTTCTGAGTCTAAGGCCAGTTCTATATTGCAGTATAATGTAGTTTGAACTGCATTATGTGGGTTAGTGTAAAACCATATAATGCTGTTCAAGTTGCATTACATGGCAGTGTAGAACCAGCTTATGTCTATTTCTCCACAACTATTTAAGATCAGGATGTGGATGAAAGAAACCTGATTCTCTGTGGAGCACCTACACAAGCACCTAGGAAGTGACCACAAAGATCTGCTGACTGTGGATCAATCTGATACAAGGAATCCTTTTTTTCTACACTGTCTGGTGGCATGTTCAATAAGAAACAGCCATAATGTTCCTGTGTAGTTTCCTCTCCAGCAGGAAGGTGTTTGTTTACCTTCTGGGGTGCTGAGTTTCCATCTTCTTCCCCCAAATGCTTCACTGCTGGCCCTGTCCTTGCAAGTGCTCCATATTTTGGCCTTGAGTGCCGCAGGGTTCCGTCCTGGGCCCGGTCCTGTTCAACATCTTTATTAATGACTTAGATGAAGGGTTAGAAGGCAGAATCATCAAGTTTGCAGATGACACCAAATTGGGAGGGAGAGCCAATACTCCAGAGGACAGGAGCAGGATTCAAAATGATCTTGACAGATTAAAGAGATGGGCCAAAACTAACAAAATGAAGTTCAACAGGGACAAATTCAAGATACTCCACTTAGGCAGAAAAAACGAAATGCAAAGATACAGAATGGGGGACAATGCCTGGCTTGAGAGCAGTATGTGTGAAAAAGATCTTGGAGTCCTTGTGGAAAACAAGTTAAACATGAGCCAACAATGTGATGTGGCGGCAAAAAAAGCCAACGGGATTTTGGCCCGCATTGATAGGAGCATAGTGTCTAGATCTAGGGAAGTAATGCTACCCCTCTATTCTGCTTTGATTAGACCACACCTGGAATATTGTGTCCAATTCTGGGCACCACAATTCAAGAGAGATATTGACAAGCTGGAATGTGTCCAGAGGAGGGCGACTAAAATGATCAAGGGTCTGGAGAACAAGCCCTATGAGGAGCGGCTTAAGGAGCTGGGCATGTTTAGCCTGAAGAAGAGAAGGCTGAGAGGAGAGATATGATAGCCATGTATAAATATGTGAGAGGAAGCCACAGGGAGGAGGGAGCAAGCTTGTTTTCTGCTTCCCTGGAGACTAGGACACGAACAATGGCTTCAAACTACAAGAGAGGAGATTCCATCTGAACATGAGGAAGAACTTCCTGACTGTGAGAGCCGTTCAGCAGTGGAACTCTCTGCCCCGGAGTGTGGTGGAGGCTCCTTCTTTGAAAGCTTTTAAACAGAGGCTGGATGGCCATCTCTCAGGGGTGATTTGAATGCAATATTCCTGCTTCTTGGCAGGGGGTTGGACTGGATGGCCCATGAGGTCTCTTCCAACTCTTTGATTCTATGATTCTATTTTACATGCAAACAAATGGGCTAAAGCAGATTTTACGGCTTACTCCAGAATTTCTGGTGACTTAAAATATATTGTTTTTTAGCTGGATGCGCATTGGGGTTTATACATTTTTTGAACACCCCAACCTTGGGATGGCTTAGAATTGCATTTTATTGCCTGTGTGGAAGCAGCCTAAAACAGCCCTCTTGTTGGGGAGGAGACATGGTTACATGAGCCCAAATAACCCCTAAAAATACACGGAAATATTTTGATTAAAGAAAATACAAAAATGAAATGGGGGGTGAGGTGGTGTTCTGGGGTTGCTGTATGGCTATCCAAGGTCTGATAAGGCCCTTTGAGCCCGAAAAGATGCATACTCTGATACAGTAAGTCCTTGCAGGACACAAGTATATGTGTGAAGAAAAACCTCATTGTTTCTAATTATCTTGTTCAGCTGACTGAGTAGGTCAAACAGCAATCTTGTGCCACAGCCAAAGGGCTGTAACTGTTTGAGTTCTTTGAATACAGTGTGGTGGGTGCTGGTTTTTCTGGTGGGTTGCTGCTGGAGTTCTGTTTCACCAGTGTGGAGTACCAGCAGGAGATGCTGATGGTGAAATGGCTATTTACTTCAGGTTTTGATTTTCCATTTGCTGCTTAGAAGATACTTTATTTTATGCATATTACAAAGACTGTGTAAATATATTGCACTGCTGTTTTTGTGTGCAGTATTGCCAGTTTTGTTTCATCTCTGCAAAGTTAAGAGAGTAAAGATTTTCTGTTTACCTTGACTGCTGGTCTGAGACTATTTTGCGTCTGGGTTTTTTGGGCGTTATGTCGCTGGAATAAAACACACACTGTGTAACATACTCTTCTGTAATGAAAAAAAATATTCTGCCCAAATAAACCTTTTTGAAAAATATATTTTTGTTAGAAACTTTTCAATACAGTAAATGATAAAAAATATACAGCCAAAGGGGAAAAAGGGATAAAGAAAAGGTTAGAGAGAGAAAAACAACAAACAACAGAAAAAGGAAAAAAGTTTACATTGATTTCTAACTTTCTTAATGATGGTTACAGCGTCAAATTCCTTCTCCAGCTAAATTACCATTCATGCACTTCTGTTTAACCAAAACCATTAATTAGCAAAACCTACAGTTAGCATATTATTTTCATTTTTCTGCAGAAAGGCAATCAAAGCTTTTTAGTCCTTCAGAAATGTCACCAGTGATTTTTCTCTAATCAATTTAGATAGTATATCCACTCCAGCTAGGTCAATCAGTTTCAGCTCATTTATTGGAATTACAGTATTTTTCTGTTTCTTTTAAACAATAATCTTGTTGCCGAGATCATACAATGGAGCAATCTTTCCCATTTCATCTCTGATCATTTATCAATCTCAGTAAAAACAATTCCGGTTTCAATTGACTATCATCTTCAAAATCTTTCGTAACAGATAATGTATTTGATTACAAAATGTCAGGCTTCCCACAAGTTAAGCATAATATGAAATGTCTCAACTCTTGCTCACATTTCCAAACAACGTTTAAACCCCCTTTATGCATTTTGGCCAATTTTTCAGGAGTCAAACACCAACAGCATAGATAAAGGTAAAGGTTGTCCTCTGACATTAAGTCCAGTCATGTCCGACTCTGGGGGTTGGTGCTCATCTCCATTTCTAAGCCAAAGAGCCAGCATTGTCCATAGACACCTCCAAGGTCATGTGGCCGGCATGACTGCATGGAGTGCCATTACCTTCCCACTGGAGTGGTACCTATTGATCTACTCATGTTTGCATGTTTTCAAACTGCTAGGTTGGCAGAAGTGGGGGCTGACAGTGGGAGCTCACGCTGCTCCCCGGATTCGACCCTGCAACCTTTCGGTCAACAAGTTCAACAGCTCAGTGCTTTAACCTTACTGTGCCACTGGGGGCATAACATTTTATTTAAAAAATCCTTAAGATCATAACTTAATGTGCTGTCAATTTCACTTCCTTTAGTGGCATGTCTCCTATTGTTCGATCTGTGTATTATATCCAAAGCTTCAAAATCACTTTATGTAACTGCATCCGAAATATATATTTGTTCTGTTCAAAACCGTATGCTTTTTATCCATTTCAAATATTTGTCTAAAAATACCATTGCAAACTATAACCCTCTGTCAATAAGTCTTTATTTGACTTTTTTTTTGTATTCATGTATATTAAAAAAACTGACTCTAAAGACCTGGGTTGACGTATCTATCGGTCAATATAAATACTGCACCTTAACTGTTATCAAAGAGGGAACCATCACCTTCTCCTGTGTCGAGTGGTGAAATACAAGCTCTTAGACAAATCCTAAATGTTTTGGTGACACAAAGTCCCTTTTCAAGACATTAGGTGTATGGTATATGGGAGCAATAAAATCTCTTTTAAATTGGTCTGCAGGAGGCACTGTGGAATCCTCTGGACCATACAATTTCTCAGATCATCAGAAGAACTTTTTGGAGCATCATCAGGTGAGATGGAGAGAAAGGGAGAAAGGAAGCATCAATGTTAGAAGAATATGGGAGTTAGATGTAAGATTTTCCTCCTCCTTTTATACTATCATGAATGGGTGTGATTTAACAAAGTTGGATGCTGGGAATTCAGGGAAGACAACAAAAATACAGTAGGTCTTCTAGTGGTGCAAGACCTCTACAAAGGTGGTACAAGTACACATTAGATATTAATGTTTTTATAACTGAGATGACATCTGTCTATGAATCTCTAGACCAGTGGTACCCAACCTTTGGTCCTCCAGGTGTTTTGGACATCAACTCTCAGAAATCCTAGCCAGCTTACCAGATGTTAGGAGCTGAAGTCCAAAACATCTGGAGGACCAAAGGTTGGGAACCCCTGCTCTAAAACCTCTATGGTGACCCTTTGGTCAACCTCTGTTAGATGTTGATGTGCACTAGATGACCTTGAGATCCTAGAGAAATGTTCCCTCTAGGAAATCTCTCATGTTCTCCAGGGTGACCATAGAGATTTCTAGAAGATATTATGTCCACAAAAGTTAAAGGCACAAATGTTGGAGACCAACAGTAGTTCTTTAGTCCGTGCATAGTTGTATTGTGGATTTCACTACCAGAAAATTGAATGATAGGCACCAATTTATAGAGGTTTCAATGGCATGTAGACAAATTCATGGAGCATTATGGTTATTTAACCTGGTATTGGTAGCGATATATCTGTGAATGCCAATCACTAAAGAATAACAACAGGCTAACAGCAATAGCAGCCACAGACCCGTACCCGCTGTTGCTGTTAGCCTGTTATAGCACTGTACTTAATTTCCGGTCCCCTCATTTTTTGAGTTTGCACTAGCCATGGCCCGGCCTTTTAATTGCTCTGAACAGGCAGGATTATTTTTAATATATATGTGTAATTGTGATAATTTTATGCTTATGTTGTTTTGTTAATTTTGTTATGCTGTTTACTCTGTATCTTTTGGTGATGTTGCTTGGAAATCCCCCTGAGTCCCCCTCGGGGAGATAGAGCAGTATATATATAAAGTTTTATTATTATTATTTATTAAGGGTACTGTTGCCACCATATCTTGCTTTTGGCTGTTCTTCTGGCATCTGGCTAACCATGTTGCATGTTGGAGTTACTTTTCTAACAGAGTTCGTGTTATATTCTTCTGACTATAAATTCAGGCTTTTCAAACATCTAAAATGCAGAATAGAGCATGCTGGTGGACAACAGAATGTTGAAAACATGTCTTTATCTTTATTTTAAATGTAAATCCATTTTTCACTCTAGTTTCCAAAATAGCACACAGATCCATAAAATACAACAATTCCATAATGGATTTGGATATGAGGTGCCTAGGATAAAGTTCCCTCGCTATCATAGATTTCCTTTGTGTTCCCAGGCATGAGACTGTCTCTTAAACTGGCTCCGTCCACTTGTGAAACAATAATGATGTTAATTTGGGTCACTGGACTGTTCTAATAGAATAGGGGTAGAGGACAAGTTGCTAGGTTTAGGCAACAGAAAAAATTATTTTGATCTATATGGATCTGCTCCCAACTTCTTCCCTGATACTAGAACACTATCATGACTGTGTTTTTTGTTTAATGCCAGAGGACTGCTCGGATCCGATCTCTCTCTGAGAGCTCAACTATATCTATAACTGAGGATACCCCACAGTCTCCAGAAGAAGGTATAGGGGAGGGAATCACATCAGAGAAGCCACCACTGGAAGAGACAGAGAAAGATCAAGCCAAGGTAAGGCGTCTTATTGGAAAGGATAGTTTTGCTGACAGAGATCCATAGTTTAAATCAGCCCTCCTCAACTTGATGTTCTCTCAGATATGTTGAAATTCAACACCCATAATCTTTAACCTGAATGGCCATTCTCACACGTCGTACAGTTGCTGCAATTCTGTGTGGCTTCAAATAGTGTAGTAGTTCTGCCTGAAGACATGCACTAGACTGAACCATATCCTACCACTATCACGTCAGGCCTTATGGAGAGTATTCCCATGGCTATTCAATGCTGCCTAGGGAGCTGGCAGGATTGGAGAAGACTCTGGTTATATCTTTGTAGCAGCAGCCCTGAGATCTTTGAGGATGGTCTGAAGGTTGCAGTGCATTCTTTTCTCTTCTGGCTAGGGCAGGCATGGGCAAACTTCAGGCTTCCAGGTGTTTGGGACTTCAACTCCCACAATTCCTAATAGCCGTTAGGAACACCTGTAGGGCCAAAGTTTGTACATGGCTGGGTTAGAGGGACATAGCCAGATGCTTCTCTGATCCTGCCCATTCTCCATGAGATATGGAATAACTGCAGTGTGTGAGAACATCAGAGGCAATAACAGTAAGTCTGGGGAGGAGAGCATTTGAGTACACCAGACAGATTAGTGGAACACCAACATCCGCAATATACTGAAAAGGATACAGGCAGGCATAAGGAAAATGTACATGTTTGTATGCTACTAACATAAGATAAAAGGTAAGTCTAGTTGTGTGGGGGGTGGTGCTCATCTCCATTTCTAAGCTGAAGAGCTGGCGTTGTCCGTAGACACCTCCAAGGTCATGTGGCCAGCATGACTGCCAGTGCAGTGCCTAGTTATTTACTCACACTTGCATGTTTTCGAACTGTTAGGTTGGCAGAGCTGAGCCTAACAGTGGGAGCTCACGCTGCTCCCCGGATTCGAAGTACCAACCTTTTGATCAGCAAATTCAGCAGCTCAGCGGTTTAACCACAGTGCCAGCAGTTTAACACAATGCCAGGCAATATTTAATAATAATAATAATAATATGGGTCAGAGCGAAAAGAGAGGAGGCCAGGGGACAGCACCATCTTGTCTCCTGCATTTGCCATCCTTTGGGGACCCCTCCCCCCAGCACCGTCACTCTGGGCCAGAGCGAAGGGGGGGGGGCAGGGGACAGTTCCACCTTGTCTCCTGTGCTATTCTAATAATATGTTATAATATAATATATAATATATTGTATGTATGTTGTTGTTGTTCATTCGTTCAGTCGTCTCCGACTCTTCGTGACCTCATGGACCAGCCCACGCCAGAGCTCCCTGTTGGCCGTCACCACCCCCAGCTCCTTCAAGGTCAGTCCAGTCACTTCAAGGATGCCATCCATCCATCTTGTCCTTGGTCGGCCCCTCTTCCTTTTAACTTCCACTTTCCCCAGCATAATTGTCTTCTCTAGGCTTTCCTGTCTCCTCATGATGTGGCCAAAGTACATATTGTATATTGTATATTGTATATACATATAATATTTATAATATTGTAATGTAATGCAATATAATACTACTACTACTAATAATATGATATTATAATTATATATTTATATTACATGTAATATTACTAATAATTAATAATAATTAATTATAATTGATATAGTACAATATAGCAATATTTAAAACTGATATTGTACTATGTTAATAATATATTGTACGTATATATACCTTGTAAGCCGCTCTGAGTCCCCTTCGGGGTGAGAAGGGCGGCATATAAATGTCGTAAATAAATAAATAAATAAATTTAATAATAATAATACTAATAATAAGAATAATAATAATAAGAAGAATAATACATTTTATTTGTTACCCACCTCTCCTAATGGCTTGAGATGGGGTACAACTCTGTCAAAACATAAAATACATAGATGAAAACACCTCATTTCAAAAACATACATCAAACATACATCAACATCAACATATAGCAGTAATAGAATGCAAATTCAAAACTCATGATTCAGAGGTCTGCTAAAAGAGATAGGTCTTTAATTTTGTTTTAAATTTTGACAGAGCTCTTCTGGCAGGTAATTCTACAGTTGTGGGATGGTTGTTGAAAACGTCCTTTGGGTAACAGTTGCCAATTGAGTTCAACAGAAGTATCCCCCAAATGACCTCAGTGTACCAATGGGGAAATAGTGCAGGAGAAGTTGATCCTGTAAGTAATCTGGACTTAAACTATATAGGGCTTTAAAGGTCAAGATCAACATTTTGCACTTTGGCTAGAAACTAATTGGCTAAGTGGAATGACTTTAAGATGGGTGGAATATGCTCACTCATAGATGTTTCTGTAACTAGTCTGGCTGCTGTGTTTTGAATTAATTGGAGGTTACCAGCATGTGTACTACCATTTGTAGGTCCTCTGTTTCTAGGAAGCGATGCAGCTGGTGTATCAGCAAAAGCTGATAGTAAGCACTCCTGACCCTCACACCTACCTGGACTGACATTTGGAGAGCTGGATCCAGGAGCGCTGCCATGCTGCAAACAGTCGTTCAGGGGAAGTATATCCCCATCCAGAACTCGTTGATACCCTTCCATCCTTAGGTTAGGAGAACAGCAAGCACATCTGTCCTATCTGGATTCAGTTTCAATTTGTTTTTCGTCATCCAGCCCATTACCTCCCCCAGGCATTCATTCAGAGGAGACAGCTTTGTGTATATGTTTTAGTGGAAAATATTAATACGTATTAAGAATGTTGATTTGTCTCTGTCTTGCTGGCAAAACAGAGCAGGAAAATGTCAGCCTGATTTTGAAGCCCCCTTTCAATACTCATTGAGTACCCTCTTAGAAGGAGAAGTTCCAACAAACCTCCACACTTGATTTGCTGTCTTTCAGGCATCTGGCTTTGGCTGGTTCAGCTGGTTCCGATCCAAGCCAGATAAGGATGCAGAACCCTCCAAGAAAGTACCAGCTTCCTTGCTAAACTCTACTGTTCCTGTTTCCCAGGTAATTGAGGGTCTTTAAAAAGTTATTTTTTATTGTTGAAGGCTTTCATGGCCGGAATCACTGGGTTGTTGTAGGTATTTTTGGGCTATATGGCCATGTTCTAGAGGCATTCTCTCCTGACGTTTCGCCTGCATCTATGGCAAGCATCCTCAGAGGTAGTGAGGTTCTAGTCTGAGGATGCTTGCCATAGATGCAGGCGAAACGTCAGGAGAGAATGCCTCTAGAACATGGCCACATAGCCCGAAAAAACCTACAACAGCCCAAGTTATTTTGTGTTCTTGTTTTGCAGTAATCTGCATTCTTTAGATTTTAAAAAGCTAACTCATTAACATTTTAAAAAGTAATATACTGCATTTCACTAATTCTAAGACATTAGAATCACTGGCATCCTAGATTCATGGTTATTGCTTTTTAAAGAGGCTCAGGAGTGGCGTGGTTGCTAAAGAGTGGGAGGGAAGCCAGTAGGGAGCCATCAAGCTTCATCCAGATCTCTCAGCTGGTTTTCTTTGCCAGCCTTACTCCCAGCTGGTTTTCCCTTTCCTTGGCTGAATTACTCCCAATGTCTCAGCTGGTTTCCCCCTTTCTTCTGCTGCCTTACTCCCAATCCCTCAAATGATTTCCTCCCTTTCCTTCACTGACTTGCTCCCAGTCTCTCAGTTGGTTTTCCCTTTCCTTCATTGCCTTGCTCCCAATCTCTTAGCTGGCTTTTCCTTCCCTTTTCTGACTTTTCTCTCAATTTCGCAGCTGGATTTCCCCCTTTCCTTTAGCTTCCTTGCTCCTGAGCTCTATGGAGTCTATGATGCCTTTAAGGAAAATATTTTTCCTAAAATTGAAGTTTCAAATTGGTTTTGGAATCGAAAACTGAAACTGAAACTCAAAGAAAAAAAGTGGGGTGCATCTTGGAATGGGTGGTATTCTACATTCAGTGAAATATGACATTATTTCTGTGTGATATGTTATTGTGTGTCTTCAAGTCATTTCTGAATTATGGTAACCCTACAAAAAATTCTATGGCTTATCATAGTAAGGGACCGCCTCACCCCCTACCAACCCCAGATCTCTCCGTTCTGAGGACCAAGATTTATTGGAAGTTCCCAGTTTTAAAACCTTGTGTCTAACAGCAACTAGATGCAGAGCCTTTACAGTAGTGGCACCATCGCTCTGGAACACTCTGCCACCAGAAGTTTGTGCCTTGTGGGACTTATCAGCCTTCCGCAGGGCTTGTAAGACATATTTGTTTCAACAGGCTTTTGTCCTTTGATCTGTTGTTTTAATTTGTGTTAGATTCCAGTTTGTTTTGTAAGCCGCTCCGAGCCCTAGGGGAGTGGCGGCATATAAGTTTGAATAATAAATAAATAAATAAATAATACTTTTTGTTGGGTCCCTCTCTGTGTAAGATTTATTTAGAGTGGTTTTGCAATTGCCTTCCTCTGAAGCTGAGATAATGTGGCTTGACCGAGGTCACTTGGTGGGTTTTCATGGCTGAGCAGGGATTTGAACCCCGTTTTCCTGGGATCCTAGTCCAATTCTCAAACCAATGCATTATTCTGGCTCTCATCATATATTTAATATGTACCTGTTATTTTCTGTTTTCCATTTTTTAAAACCTAAAACATGCTTGTCCACAATTCCTGCCTCATGTACAGACAGGCCCATAGCCAGGATTTTCATTGGGGGGGCTGGGTTTGATTCGGGGAGGGGGGGGGGCTGAGTCTGAGTGAAAGAGGGTCTACCCTAGCAAGTCTTTTGTATCGTTACCCCAATACCCCCATGTATATGAGATATATTGAGCATGGTGATCAGATCATGATACGAATAAACATAACAGTTTAGGTTCTTGTAGGTTTTCCGGGCTATATGGCCATGTTCTAGAGGCATTTCTCCTGACGTTTCGCCTGCATCTATGGCAAGCATCCTCAGAGGTAGTGAGGTCTGTTGGAAATAGGAAAATGGGTTTATATATCTCAACAGAACATTTTCCCAGGCTCAGCCCAAACCTTCAAATGCTAATGAAGGTGGTCAGCTGAAACATTCACACCTAGCTTCAGCAGAGAGCTCTTTGCCCCACCCCAGTCATTCCACAGATATATAAACCCATTTTCCTATTTTCAACAGACCTCACTACCTCTGAGGATGCTTGCCATAGATGCAGGCGAAACGTCAGGAGAAATGCCTCTAGAACATGGCCCTATAGCCCGAAAAAACCTACAAGAACCTAGTGATTCCAGCCATGAAAGCCTTCGACAATACATAACAGTTTAAATAATGTACCAGTAAGGTCTTTTCGCAGACCGCCCCGAGAATTTCGTGGGGGGGGGGGCTGAAGCCCCCAAAGCGCCCCCCCCCCCCCCCCCTCGGCTACATGCCTGTTTTACAGAGGAAGAATTGTTGGAGGCTGCAGACAATGTAGTCGTTGTTGCCCATTTTTGGTCAAAAGATAACTATCCGCTTGTTCTCCTTCTATTTTTATTAGTTTTATATTAATTCGTGCAATGCTTTTGATACAAAATAAACAAAAACTGAAATTGTGGTGACTCTGCCAGTCATTTATTTTAAAAAAAATACATTATAATGTTTCTGCTATAAGACGCAGTAGATGTTGCAGTTAGCATTGTAGCTTGAGGTTCTTTACTTTTACGTGTTGCTTCATCCCCTCCCTCCACCAGCATTCCCCAACAGTGCTATATTTCAGGATAAGTTTGTTGAGCCATTAGCGGCCTTCCCCAGGAGAGACACTTGATAAACATGTGAGGAACTCCAGATTTGCTGGAACAGAATTCGAAAATACCTGTCATAGTTCATCCATTCAGGATGACTGCAAACAGTGAATGGGAACCTAATGCTTTGGGAAGGCACCAAAGTGCAGGTAATGGATATGGAGGCATTTGGATTAAATTAGGAGAGAAAAATGTGGAAAGGTAAGAGGAAAGTTGGAAATTATAGAAAAGAAAACCCATCCAAAATTGGCATTAGCAATTGGATTTCCCAAAAACAAAAGACTATGGCTGCATTTACACCACCAGATACAGCATATTGTCAGTGTTGACTCATATAATGCATTAAATGGCAGTGTAGATGTGGCCTAACCATGAATCATAGAATCACAGAATCAAAGAGTTGGAAGAGACCTCATGGGCCATCCAGTCCAACCCCCTGCCAAGAAGCAGGAATATTGCATTCAAATCACCCCTGACAGATGGCCATCCAGCCTCTGTTTAAAAGCTTCCAAAGAAGGAGCCTCCACCACACTCCGGGGCAGAGAGTTCCACTGCTGAACGGCTCTCACAGTCAGGAAGTTCTTCCTCATGTTCAGATGGAATCTCCTCTCTTGTAGTTTGAAGCCATTGTTCCGCATCCTAGTCTCCAGGGAAGCAGAAAACAAGCTTGCTCCCTCCTCCCTGTGGCTTCCTCTCACATGTTTATACATATATTACTGCTGAATGAGTTTACACATTCAGCAGTAATAAGGTGTAAAGCTTTTTCTAGATTTTATTCCACTGGGCTACAGTAGCAAATGAAATTTAGAATCCTTCTACAAAAGTATAATAAATCCCAACCAATAGCCAGGTTGCGTGGAGGACAACGGGATGTTGGGGAAAAGGGTTAGCTGAGCCCTTCTACCTATCGTTCTAGTTGTGTAGAAAGGTTTTTCTGAAAAGGAACATTCACACTCCTGATTATTATTATTATTATTATTTATTTTATTTACAGCTTTTATATTCCGCCCTTCTCACCCCGCAGGGGACTCAGGGCGGATTACAGTGTACACGTATATGGCAAACATTCAATGCCAATTTTTGACATACAAACATATACAGACATAGACAGAGGCTATTTAACTTTTTCTGGCCGCCAGGGGAGCTGTTGTTTTCATCGTCCATCTGCAACGCACTTCCGCATTCCCCGCATACTTCCCTGCTGGAATGCTTTGCTGGAGTCTTCTTTATGGCCTCATAAATCAGTTAATTTAGCCTCCCCACACTTTAAGGTGGTACCTAATTTTCCTACTTGACAGATGCAACTGTCTTTCGGGTTGCAAAGGTCGACAACCGGCTACACACAATTGGTTGGAAACCCACTCCAACCCGGGCTGGCTTTGAACTCATTACCTTTTGGTCAGAGTGATCTTAATGCAGCTGACACTCAGCCAGCTGCGCCACAATCCCAGTGCTACATGCAGCCCAAAGTGGTACTGTTCAGGCAAAGACAGGCAATTTCAATCAACTGAATAGATAAACCTGCCATCTTTTCCAACGGCCTCCTTCTCTTGCTTTGCTCTCATTTTGGCTCTTTCATGATGACTTTCCTCCTCTACTCTGATTCTTTCAACTTCACACTCACAGCATCTCCTGTATCTACTGTCAACTTTCCTTTAATATTTAAACACTAACTCTTGGGGATTCATTGTTTTAGATACTTCTTTTTTCTTCTTCTATTTTCCCCATGTTGATGATAACGTTTAATTTTCCTTCAATTGCGAACATGCTTTTCTTGATCTTCTCTTTCCTTTTTTATCTGTTACTAGATGAAAATACATGAAAAGAATTACCAGCTTGTTTTTTTTAAACAGATTGCATGGCAACTAGTTGTATGGACTAAAATAATAACAAAGCATTACCCTTGTTTCAAGCATAATTTACACGTTAGTATCACCACACTTTGATCAGTTTAAAAAGACAATATCAGAAATATGGTCGGAAGAGATTAATATGAATAAAAGTGGGAAATAACAAATAATACCAGTGTCTAGAGTTTGAATTGAATCAACTTGGAACAGAGACAAGACTAATTCTGTGTTTTATCAAACCCAGTGACTTTGTTTTATATGGATTTATGTTTGATTTATATTTTTAATATAAAACATTTTTTATATTTTTTTTTGCTGAGCACAAAAAAAAAGATGAAATAAGGATGTCACAGGAGTGAAAGGCAAAACAGGAACAGGAATTCAGCTGTCCTAGTTACTAAAATTTGTTCACTGAAACCCATTCTGAATTTGAAGGATTTTTTAAAAAATACCTTACTCAAATTTCCAGGTTTGTTTCTCCTAAAAGATTAGATTGCCAAATCCTGAACTAGGTTCCCTGTTTCACAAACTTCTGCTGAACTTGGAAGTAACCAGTCACAAATATCTAGTTAATGTGTTGTCGAAGGCTTTCATGGCTGGAATCACTGGGTTGTTGTAGGTTTTTTCGGGGTGTATGGCCATGGTCTAGAGGCATTCTCTCCTGACGTTTCGCCTGCATCTATGGCAAGCATCCTCAGAGGTAGTGAGGTCTGTTGGAACTAGGCAAAAGGGTTTATATATCTGTGGAATGACCAGGGTGAGACAAAGGACTCTTGTCTGCTGGAGCTAGGTGTGAATGTTTCAACTGACCACCTTGATTAGCATACAATGGGCTGACTGTGCCTGGAGCAAACTTTTGTTGAGAGGTAATTAGATGTCCCTGCCTACTTCCTCTCTGTTGTTGTGCTGCTGCAATTTTAGTTTTTTAATACTGGTAGCCAGAGGTTTGCTCCAGGCACAGTCAGCCCATTGTACGCTAATCAAGCATACATACCTAGCTCCATCAGACAAGAGTCCTTTGTTGCACCCTGGTCATTCCACAGATATATAAACCCTTTTTCCTAGTTCCAGTAGACCTCACTACCTCTGAGGATGCCTGCCATAGATGCAGGCGAAACGTTAGGAGAGAATGCCTCTAGACCATGCCATATAGCCCGAAAAAAACCTACAACAACCCAATATCTAGTTAATTGTCACCAACCTTTTACTCCCAATATTGCAGAAATAGTTACATTATGTTATAATATAATAATAATAATAATATTTGATTAATATTCCACCACCATCTCTCCAAAGGGACTCGGAGCGGCTCACAAAAGCACTCTGTAGTGCAACACATATAAAATACACAAATACATAAGCAAATAAAACAATGACAATATAAGTTTACACAACAATTTTACATAAATATCATATAAATCCTTATTATTAAGATTTAAAATTCCATAAAATACAGCAGTGCCTGCAGATATAAAATAAGCTGTATTCAAGTATCAATCCAAAGTGTCAGAGTGAAGCAAATCACTAAGTCCCTGAGTTTAACCAATACAATTATAATCATGGTCGAAGGCCTGTATAAATAGCCATGTTTTAAAATTTGACCAAAAAACTTGTAGAATTGGGGTTGGTCTAATCCAGGGGTCCTCAAAGTTTTTAAACAGAGGGCCAGGTCACAGTCCCTCAAACTGTTGGAGGGCCAGATTATAATTGGCAAAAAGCATGAATGAATTTCTATGCACACTGCACATATCTTATTTGTAGTGCAAAAAACCCCCCACTTAAAAACAATACAATAATTAAAATGAAGAAGAATTTTAGCAAATATAAACTTATTAGTATTTCAATGGGAAGTGAGGGCCTGCTTTTGGCTGATGAGATAGGATTGTTGTTGTCGTGTGCTTTCAAGTTGTTTCAGACTTAGGGTGACCCCGAGTGAGGGCCGGGCAAATGACCTTGGAGGGCCGTACCTGGCCCCCGGGCCTTAGTTTGAGGACCTCTGGTCTAATCTCTCTAGGAAGGACATTCCAGAACCAGGGGGCCACCACTGAGAAGGCCCTCTCTCATCCCCACCAACCACACCTGAGACAGAGGTGGGACCGAGAAAGGGCCTCCCCGGGAGTTCTCAGAGCCTGCACCATTTTATAGAAGGAAGTATGGTCTTGTAGATAAGTTGGACCTAAAGCATATTGATTGTTAATTTACTCAGAGATGCCTTTACTCCTACATTGGTGAAACTGTAATATTGTAGTTTTATAGTTATGTGGGTGGGTTCTTGTTAAATGGTGAAGGAGGAATACTGCATGACTCAATATCTCTTGTTATCCAACATAGTGGTTTGAATACTATGTAGACAATTACTCTGAAAGGCTTGCATTTGAATTGCTACTCAGCCATGGAAACCCACTGGGTGATTTTAGGCAAATTACACTCTTTTAGCCTTAGAGGAAGTCAGTGACAGACTTACGATGACTTTATCATAGGAACACTGAGGACAAAGTCTGAAATGAGCTGGCAGCCACTTCATTTCTTCATGAATGTATGACTTCCGTTCTGTAGGAGAAAGGAGCTCCACCACCTCCCTGTCCTCCCACAGAGGAGACACGCTCTTCATCCCATCCTCCTCGTTTTCCTGTTCTACCTCACACAGATGGAAACCCCTTTTCAAAAGGCTCTCTGGGTAAATATATGTCTCTGAGTTGATTACAAAAATATAGTCAACATGGTTGTGACTAGAAGCATGTTGAGTGCAAGGGTTTTTGCTTGTTATTTATTGTTGTGTATGACTTTGTTCATTTAGAGCCCACCTTTCCACCCAGAACTAGCAATGCCATTTTCTGTAGCACCTAGCATCCCACACAACTGACCCAATGTAGCAGAAACATAGGATTGCCAAGGAATTTATCATCAAAAAGTTGAGGGAGGGGAGAAAATACTCAAGTATCTAATCCATTGTTAATGAAAATAATCATTTAAAAATGTATACTTTTATTTCCTCAGGAACAAGAAACCGACTAAGCTATAGCAGCCGAGGAGGAACCATTTCTCCAGATGCCTGAAATCAGGTGAGAAGTGTTAAATCTCTATGTTGCATGAGGAGAGAGGTCTGCTCTGGAAAAAGTATTATTAGGGTAGGACAGAGATTGAATCAAACAGAGCTTTTGATAATCCCTTTTCGGTGGTGGCCCCTTGACTCTAGAACTCACTCCCTAAGGACATCAGGCAGGCCCCAACCCTGGCAGTCTTCAGGAGGCGCTTGAAGACGTGGTTGTTCCAGTGTGCCTTCCCGGAATAATGATCCCATAGCACTTTGTCCTCCAAAGCGCTTTATACTTTTAGGTCTGCTCGTATGTCTTCCACAAACGCCACTATCACCTTTTTGTCCATGCCTCAGCACTATTCCAATTTTAATTTTTACATTTGGCCTTCCCACAGTTTTAATTGTATGTTGTCTTATTTTTTTGGTTGTGTCAGGAACGACATGAAAAACTGCAAGTCACTTCTGGTGTGAGAGAATTGGCCGTCTGCAAGGACGTTGCCTAGGGGACGCCCGGATGATTTGATGTTTTTATCATCCTTGTGGGAAGCTTCTCTCATGTCCCCGCATGAGGAGCTGGAGCTGATAGAGGGAGCTCATCCACCTCTCCCCGGATTCGAACCTGCGACCTGTCGGTCTTCAGTCCTGCCGGCACAGGGGTTTAACCCACTGCGCCACCGGGGGCTCCATTGTTGTCTTATTGATAATGTTATATGTTTATCGTTTATGTTTTATTTTAATTGCTTGTATTGTTGTGATTATTGCCTGTATTGTTGTGTTTGGGCTCGGCCTCATGTAAGCCGCACCGAGTCCCTTGGGGAGATAGTTGCGGGGTACAAATAAAATGTTATTATAATATTATTATTATTAAAAGAAGTGCATGGCCAAATATGGGAGGTCATCTGGGTTGAAAACAGCACATTTGAAAGGGATCTAGGAGTCTTAACATGAATCTACAGTGTGATGTGATAGCTAGAAAGGCCAATATGGTTTTGGGCTGCATCAATAAGAGTATAATGTCTAGATCAGACCTGAGCAAACTTCAGCCTTCCAGGTGTTTTGGACTTCAACTCCCAGAAAACTCAGCCATCTTACTGGCTGTTAGGAATTGTGGGAGTTGAAGTCCAGAACACCCGGAGGGCTGAAGTTTGCCCACACCTGATCTAGATCGAGGGAAGTCATAGTACAACTCTATTCTTCTTTGGTCTGACATCATCTGGAATACTGTGTCCAGTTCTGGGCACCACAATTCAAGTAGGATATTAAAAAGTAGAATGCATCCAGAGAAGGGCAACCAAAATGATCAAATGTTTGGAAGCCAAGCCGTACGATGGAGCTGCCATAAGGATGCCATAAGGGAGCAGGTGTGTTCTCTGCTGTTCTGGAGACTAGGATATGGGGCAATGATTTCAAATTGAGGAAAAGTTTCCACTGAAATGTTAGGAAGAACTAATTTTTTTTTGTCGTGTCAGGAGCGACTTGAGAAACTGCAAATCGCTTCTGGTGTGAGAGAATTGGCTGTCTGCAAGGACATTGCCCAGGGGATGCCCGGATGTTTTGATGTTTTACCATCCTTGTGGGAGACTTCTCTCATGTCCCCGCATGAGGAGCTGGAGCTGATAGAGGGAGCTCATCTGCGCTCTCCCTGGATTCAAACCTGCGACCTGTTGGTCTTCAGCCCTGCTGGCACAAGGGTTTAACCCACTGTGCCACTGGGGGCTCCAGGAAGAACTAATGTTAAGAGTTGTTTGGTAGTAGAATATGCTGCCTCACAGGGTGATCTTCTCTGAGGTTTTTAAGCAGAGAGTGATTTGATTGTGCTTTTCCTGCCTGGCGCGGGGTTGGACTGGATGGCCCTTGTGGTCTCTTCCAACTCTATGCTACTATATATTTAAAGCCTTCTATTTTGATGCATTTTATCCTCAATGCTCCCATTTTTTTTCTTGGTGCCTTTGTTTTGTTCCAGGCATTTGTTCTGGTTTTCATAAAATACCTTCAAATACCTGCACTTTGTATTTCCTCATTCATTTTTCAGACTAGCTTTCTCACTTCCCCAAGAAGAGGCCTACTTCACACTTCATTCCCACTAAGGTATGGATTATGTACTTGGGTGTTTATATCTGTGAAAATCCTTCAAGCCCTCTTCAAGACAAAAAAAATGTAAACATATTATAGAAACACATTCAACAAAATTAGACTAGCAAAGACATTTTGCTGCAAGAGGGTAGAGGACCATACCTATTCATTCTACCTACATAAGCAGAATCACCCTTGGCATTGGTGGGGGACTGGTAGACCTTCCTGCTGGGAATCGAGAGCTGTTAGGCTCAAAAATAACCCTCTCTGGGGGTGATTCCACCAAAAATATAGCAGAGTGCAGGATAAGCAGCAGAAACTTACATATAGTGAGCAAGGATTGACTTCCATTGAACAGGATGGAACAGGATTGCAGATCCACAACTCATAGGATCAAAAACAATATGTTTATTAAAGATAAAAGAAATCCATTCTAGATAGGAAAGGTTCTTAGAGCTAACTAGCTTCACTGAGCTATCTTCTAAGGAAAAAGAAAAAGGAAAAATAATAAAAGTAACCATATCTACTGCATCTTTGCCTTAGACAATGGCAAGATGCTTCCTCACCCTAGAGAAGACAAAAGGAGAAGAGACCAGAAAATGGAGACAGGCCACATGGCCAGCCCAGGACAATAAACATACCTTTAAAAGAGGAAATTACGTTTCCCTATAGGATTGCATTCCTAGGTATTCAAATGGGGAGGAGATAGTGCTATGCAAAGATCAGTAAGACAATCCCCCCTTGTAACCCCTTCTTAAACAACCTAGCTAAAGCAAATTGGGGAGATTTCCTAAGTCTATCTAGACTAACTACTCATTGAGAGCTGGAGACTTGTGCAGTCAGGGATGAAACCCAACACTTCCCTCTAAAACAATGGTGTCCCACCTTTTTTTTACCAGGGACCACTTGACCAGGGATCACACACCAACATTAGTACCAAAAGTGTTACGAAACAGTTTTTGGTCAACTTTAGATTTGGTTTGGTTATTTGGGGTGCTGATTCAGAAAATAGTATTGGATAGACCACATAAGCTCTAGTTTTTGATACAGAACATATGCCATCCAGTAGTCACCAACTGCTTGCCCATAGAAATCATATTTAATAAGACTCGGCACTATAAGAGGCCAGTCACTCTTGTTGTAACAGTGTAGTAATGGTTAGGCTGTGGACCATATTTTAGTTCTTGTGGACCACTGTTGGTCCATGGACCACAGTTTGGGAACCATTGCTCTAAAGCAGTGGTTCTCAACCTGTGAATCCCCAGGTGTTTTGGCCTACAACTCCCAGAAATCCCAGTCAGTTTACCAGCTGTTAGTGTTTCTGGGAGTTGAAGGCCAAAACATCTGGAGACCCACAGGTTGAGAAACACTGCTCTAAAGAGAAGGATGTAGTTCTTCCAGCCCTGTCCTCTGACAGCTCACCAGGACTTCACACCGTACCACTTCCACCTGTTACCAAGGCAGTTCCCTTATATTTTTCCTGATATTGGGGCTCTAAAAATAAACTCTGGCAAAGGGGTTATTGAGGGTGGTTTCCCCTGCTGCTTGCTTGGTTTCACTGGCAGCCACCATTGTCAAATAATTTTGGTCAAAGTTCCTGAGACATGGCTTTGTCCCATAGGCCTGGGACAGTGCTCAAGTTTTTCAATAGAGTGAAGGTTAGACTGCTTGTTGGGGACTAACATTTTAAATTCTGTAAAACATCTCAAACACTGTAATCATGACATTCATAACAATTAGGGAGGAGTACAGCCAAACTAGACATATTTGCAAACATTTATTCTATTCATGTTATTTTGAAAGCTGAGGGTTAGAAATTCAACATTTTTCCCCTCCTTAACAGGTCACCGCATCAGCAGCAACTTGCACTGGATACCAAGAATAACAAACTACTCAGTGACATTGCTCCATCTCAACAAACCCTCTCAAGACAGACCAGAGGTCACATCCTTCCTTGAACCTCTCTATCTACAGCGTAACAACAAAAGTTTGGAAGGAAAAACAGAAGTACCTTTTCGCTACTACTACAACAAATGACAAAACTAAATCAGAAAACAGCCACAAACAAAAGACACACCTACATAGACACACACACAAGCTATACTAACAAATGAACAAGATGACAATTCTATGAACCTCACGCTTTCCGTTTTATGGACAGCTCTCACAATCCTTTGGGCCAAGCATGTGCACTATAACTCCCACAATCCAGTACCATTAGCAGTGGTGGGTGGAGCTGATAGGAGATGTAAACCAAATTGATGCAAATGGCCAAAGAATCTCCGATCTGTTGTTAGATGTGATCCTCAAAGAGGTGGCAAAACTTTACCTGGGTAGACTATTTGTTTAATGGATTCCTATCTTAGTTTTCTTCCCAAATTATGACTCTAAGGTGGCTAAAAAAGACAAATAAAACAAATACTATTCAAACATCAAGCAGATTCCAGTTCTAAATCCTTTTTCCTGAGATCCTAGACTCCCTTTCAGTTACAGTAGATCAGGAGCGATGAACATTTGATTCTCCTTGTTTGTTGGACTCTAATTCCCACTATGGCGCAGTGGGTTAAAGCGCTGAGCTCTGAGCTTGTTGATTGAAAGGTTGCAGGTTCAAATCCGGGGAGTGGCGTGAGCTTCCGCTGTCAGCCCCAGCTTCTGCCAACCTAGCAGTTCGAAAACATGCAAATGTGAGTAGATGAATAGGTACTGCTCTGGTGGGAAGGTAACAACACTCCATGCAGTCATGCCGGCCACATGACCTTGGAGGTGTCGACGGACAACGCTGGCTCTTCGGCTTAGAAATGGAGATGAGCACCAAACCCCAGAGTCGGACACGACTGTACTTCATATCAGGGGAAAACCTTTACCTTTACCTAATTCCCAATAGTTCTGGCATGGCCAGGAATGCTGAAGGTTGTGGTCCAACATTTGGAGGCAGCAAATAGCAATAGCTTCTACTTTGATAGTGAGGAGGCATTTCATGAATGTATTCTTCTGTGGAGTCTGATATTATATAATAACTAACCGAGGATGGGGTTTTTTGGGGGGGGGGGTAGTGATTTTTAAATAAATGATAACCCAAATTTGCAAGATACGTCATGTAGCCATATTGAGACTTAGAAGTAAACTGAATTCAAAGGGAAATTATGTCCAAGTGAATGGTTTAACACAGAACTGAAAGCTTTCATCTAGCATGTTGCCAAAGCAAGGGAGGATGTAATTTTAGCAATCATTACAAAGATTCCATGAATGTAGCATTTGTTGGATTTTCTTGGTGGGTCTGTACGTGGTTTGTATGTTGTGTTTCCTCATCAGCTTCCCTATGCGGTCAGTGGTTCCCTTGATGTATGGCAGGAACACTTTTCCTCTGGGTGGATCTTCATCTTTACTCTCGTGGCTTGTTCTTGGTCTTGCAGCTCTTCTGATGTCTAAGGTGGAGTATCCATTGGCCTGGAGAGCCCAGTTGAGGTGGTTCAGTTCATCTTGGAGCAGGTGGGGTACAGACCCACCAAGAAACTCCAATAAATGCTACGTTCAGCAAAGGACAAGAGGGATCCTCTCACCTCTGCAGGAGTCTACCGTATACCATGCAGCTGTGGACAAGTCTACATAGGGACCACCAAACGCAGCATTGTCCAAACACGAATCAAGGAACATGAAAGGCACTGCAGACTACTTCAACCAGAGAAGTCAGCCATAGCAGAGCACCTGATGAACCAACCTGGACACAGCATATTATTTGAGAACACAGAAATGCTGGACCACTCTCACAACCACCATGTCAGACTACACAGAGAAGCCATTGAAATCCACAAGCATGTGGACAATTTCAACAGAAAGGAAAAACCATGAAAATGAACAAAATCTGGCTACCAGTATTAAAAAACTCAAAAATTACAACAGCAAAACAACAGAGAGTAAACAATCAGGCACATCAAATCACTCTCAACAAAAGATTCCCCCCAGGCACTTCCAAGCCATTAAATGCTAATCAAGGTAGTGAGTTGAAACATTCACACCTAGCTCCAGCAGACAAAAGTCCTTTGTCCCACCCTGGTCATTCCACAGATACATAAACCCATTTTCCTACTTCCAACAGACCTCACTACCTCTGAGGATGCTTGCCATAGATGCAGGCAAAACGTCAGGAGAAAATGCCTCCAGAACATGGTCATATAGCCCGGAGAAACCTACACCAACCTACTTGATCTTTGCCTCTACTATCCTTCCCTCCAGTGAGCAGTGGGGCTTTATTTCCTGAAGTATGGACTGGTTGGATCTTCTCGCAGTCCAAGGTACTCTCAGGACTTTCCTCCAGCACCACAGTTCCAAAGCATCTATCTTCCTTTGCTCAGCTATTCCAAAAGCCATTCAGAGCAACCCCCGGCTATCTCTCCATCCAACACAAGGTGTCTCTCTTTCCTTTAAAAGACATCTCAGCCTGTGTTCCATGCAGCAATATTGATAGGCATACACTTGAAGGAACACAAAATGGAAAGCAGGGACCGAATGAACGCACACTGGTTCTCAAGGGTACATGGTGTGCATCCTTCAGTGAATAGCACAGAACATTATTTAGAAATCAGACTCAGAAGTAATTTAAAGGTTTCAAATGCTTCCACTTGACTGTTTCGCTGTTGGCTACTGATGTGATGCCTCCCATTTAAGCTGAAAAGATATCTAAGGGAGAGTGTGTATTCATCCATCTATCCATTCTTCCATCTATCCATCCCCCTAACCCACAAAGATCCAGCATAAATATAGCACCTCTTTTGTGAATGCTCTTCCTCATTGGCCTCACATTTAATCAAGGTCACTGGTGGCTAGATTTGGAGCATTAACATACTAGCACACTACCCACCCCAAGCCCTGGAGCTCTAGTGTTGTGCAGCAAGTGGATTCTAGCCAACGTCCCATGCAAAAGACACACAGGCAAGAGGAAAAAGGAACAGAAAAATATTTACTCTTAATAGCAGAGGTAAAACATAAACTTGCAGTCTTGCATACAAAAATCAAACAGTGCAACAAACTTGCACATTCCTTGTAAGTAACACAGAATAAGGCATCTTCATCTTCAATCAAATGAGAGAGCAAAACATAAACCTTGAGTAAATGGCTATTCCACCATAGCCTCCTTCAGAGCAGAATATTGCTTCTCTAAGCTGTTTTCCAGAGCAAAGCCTTTGAGCATAGAACTCCTCAGAGCAAAAACTGAACTGTATTCTAAAACCCATACAGTTATACCTCACCGGGTGTGGCCCAAACATGATAGCTGACCTACATTACCAGCTGCACATAATAATTAGCATTATAAGGTTTTTCTTTAACACACACTTGATCCTGCTACGACTTACTGTAACAAGATGGCTGTCAAGACAGCCACCTCCAATTCTGTATCAGAATCAGGTGTCTGCACTGCCCAAACACAGGCGAAAGTGCAAATCCTGCTGTAGGAGATGTAAGAAGGAATAACTTTGTTGGGTCACAATGCTTAGGAAAAAAACAGGGATAGAGTTATGGTTCCACATGTGTGACTCAAACATGCTGGCTGACCTACACTACCAGCTGCACACGATAATTACCACCAGAAGGTTTTTCTTTCACACACACACACACACACACACATGGTCCTGCTATGACTTACTGTAACATCTAGTATTATAATGCTTCACATAATGGTGGAAGAGACCTGGTTTAAGTATGATTCAGGTCCACATGAAACTATAGGTAACAACATAGAGGATGAAGTAAGCAATCCTAATCTCATATTATATTGTGTGTGTGGTCAGAATTACATTTATGCCTGTCCAGTCCTCTCAGTGATTAGCTAACTGTGATGTAGCCAATGTCAGCCTTTTTAAACTGCCCCTCCAGATGTTTTCATTATTTCCAACTATGTGTAGACATACAGGATAGTCTATGTATTTAGCTAATTATTATTGCTACTCCCCCTCCCTTTCTCCCACTCATCTCTCTCTGAAAACATAACACATTCTCTTCAAACACAATTTGCCCCACTGAGACCCTGCTGAATGCTGCTCAGCCCCTTGCTGGAATCATTTCCGTCCTTCTCACTGAGATCTAAATTGGTACCCTTGGGGCATTCAATGAGATCAATAGTGTGCGCATATTTCAGACCTGCGGGGAAGAGATTATAATGGTTGATCTATCTTCTGAACACTTTCACATCTTTCTGGTTGCTATGGACAGTTGGTTTTTAGCATGTTCCATTTAATCTGAAGAGGCTATAAAGGTCTCCTGAAGAGATCATCAGTGACAGTTATGATAAGCAAAAGCAGCTTTCAAGAACTGCCTTGTTTATGAAACCAGTTATTCTTGCAAGCTCTTGATAAGTAAGATAATGAAGGAAAGGTACTCAGGTATAAGTCTCAAATTACTCATGATACACATTGGGTGGTCTTAGGCCAATGTTTGCCTTTTGTCCTAACCTACTTCCCAGGGTTCTTCTGAAAGTAAAATAGCAGGGGAGGACAACAAATGTCTATTTGAGTTTTTCAAGGAAAATTGGGAAATAAATGTAATAACTAATACAATTTGTCTTCACATTTTTGCACAGTAAGGTACATGGGTGCATACACAAAATATGTGTCCACGGTTCATTTTTGTTGATATATCCTTCAGTGTCATTATTTGGAAAGTCAATATGTTGTTGGTGATTTGAAAATCAAAGTCAGGAATAACTATTTGATAAGGTAGGAAATACTACCTCAGTGCTTAGATACAATGTTTTTTGTGCAAAGGAAATTGGACAACTTCTTTATTGGCTTAGGTCAGTGGTTCTCAACCTGGGGTCCCCAGATGTTTTTGGCCTTCAACTCCCAGAAATCCTAACAGCTGGTAAACTGGCTGGGATTTCTGGGAGTTATAGGCCAAAAACATCTGGGGACTCCCAGGTTGAGAACCACTGGCTTAGGTGGATTCAGGATTAAGTCTGGATTGGAAATCTTGTTGCTCTTTAGATGTTGTTGAATTGCAGCTCACAGCATCCCTTATCACTGGCTATTCTGACTAGAGCAATGGGAGCTACAGTCTAAGAACATCTGAAAGGCTGAATGATTCTTACTTTTTTTTGGAGAATTGTGATTTTTGGAAAGGCATGACCTTGTTAGAAATAATAACCTTTTGGAAAAATGATGCCATGACATTTTGGGAAATGGAAATCCCCATAACCTTTTGGAAAATGGCATTCACTACCATTTTGGGAAAATCAAGAATTTCCTTGAGAAAAGTTAAAAACTCACTTGAGTCAATCTTCTCCTTAGTGGTAAATATTCATTAGTATTCATGTAAGGTAATTAGGTTTCTCAGCTGTTAAATTGATATACTTAGATATCTCTTTGAACTGTTAGGGTCAAAGATATGCCAATGCTCAAAACATATACGAGGGGTATTTTTAAAGTAAGGTCCGTTTGAACATA